CGGAAGACTGATGCCAGTTATTGGAAAATATCACAGTATTATATCTGCAGTATTCAATGCAGATTCAGTGGCTGCAAATATCCTGCAGCCTCCTTGCACCAAAAGAAACTTGTGTGCCTCTCGGCATGGTGGAGGGCTTGAGGAGACCCTGAAACACCTTGGCTGCAATGCAAGGACTGGATGATCTCAAAGGTCTTTTCCAACCAAATGACTCTGTGATTCAGTTGAAGGCACTCAGCACACTGCAGAGCCAGCCTGTGGTTGCACTGTGTTTAAATACACCCTTGGGTAGCCCAAATATCCGTTGAATTGCAAATCTGGACAGCAGTGTAAGGCTGCTTCAGGTGTGGCTTTTGCTTTTTATGAACCTGGGGGCCCAGGAATAACCAAGCATGGTAGAATATCCACTACTATGTAGAAAATGACCATAATTTGCTTCCTTCCTTCCGAACAAGCACAACTAAGCTGCTGTAATAGTGTTATATTGCACCATGTCCTATCTCATAGCAGGGTTATTTTCAAACCCATATACTTTACAAATTGCTGGACCATTCTATACGTTAACTTATGTGCTACATAAATGAACAGGTAAATCCTGTTTCTGCTGATGCTAGGAACCAGAAACAAAAATCAAATAATGTGCAAATATTATTTGATACATGCTAAGCAGCTGATGGTTTTGATACAGACTTGCATATATACCAAATTAATCTGGCACACTAAAATTTGTAATTTCTCATTTTGCCCATTAGCAGTAATCTGTGCTTAGTATAAATCCCTAGATGTCAGACTGTCAACACATTACATTGGTCACAATTTACTGTTCCACCCCATCAGGCACATGCTGTATCAGCATTACAAAAATACTGAAGAAACACCAGGGCTGTAAATCCAGGGCCATTTGAAAACAATCACAAAACTCTTCTCAGCTTCAGTTCTTTCAGTCTTAAAATGCCAGGCACCCAGTGGCAGTAGATATAGAATCATGTGCTTGGCACAGTGTATGTGAGCAAGAACACCTGAACGGGGCAAGGTTGTTCAAAAAATAAGCCAAAGAAGGTTGGTTTTGGTCTTTTGTGGGGTTTGCTTGGGGTTTTATCTACCATTAAAATATGCCATGCACTTAAAACTGTCTACAGCAAGTGCAAGGCGATCCACAGAAGTAAGTGAAAGAACTGGATATAAGAAAGTGATTTGGTGCCTGTCAAGTTTCCAGCAAAAATTCCTTATCCTTGATATAACTAAATTGTTCTGCCAAAGCTGCTGTTTTCCAAGATCTTCCAGTAAATCTGCAAGGGCATGAAAATGCAAAGATAGTGTAATGAGTTTTGTTATTCACACTTACTGCAATTTTTCGGAATAAACACACATTCATAAGCAGCATTCTTGGAAATTCCCATACAGGTAATAATATGTATATCAACCTCTTTCTTGCCAAACTTCAGATCAGGTGCAGCTCACTAAACTGATGCTGTGCTTATTGCCTGTGCAGTGGAGATGGAGTCAGCTTCAGAATCGCTTCCAGGCCCTGTCCTCCTCTCCATCCCCATCTGGAGCCTGACAACAGCCTAACCCCTTGACCCAAATAGCTGTCTGCAATCCACGTCTCCAGTCTCTTTCCCAAAACTATTTTTTAAAAAAACCCTTTTATTATAGATGTTTTATTACATAAAACAAAAAAATCCCCAAAGTAACCATATGGACTGCCCAGGTCAAATTAAGAAAGGACTCAATTCCCCACTGCCCACCTCGAGCATGTTGCCGTAAAGGTAATCACAATATCAAGCAATATTGCTTTCATCTCCCCAAGTGTCAACCTTTACTGTGGCTAATATTTTTTTGACAGTGTCCACATGATATAGGACTCCAATAAGTCAGTCTTCTGAAGCAATTTCTTCCACTGTTCCCCTACAGTCGGCCTTTTTAATCCAAGAAACACCATGATATCTGCTAGAGGAGGACAGATGTGTCTGGCCTCCACAATAAACACTTGGCTTGGCAGGATAAAGCAATGCATATTCCAGATACATATTTTTCCACTCTTGTTTTAACAGTCACATAGGCTTTTCCCGTTGCCCAGTGAGAACAGGTCTATCACGGAGCAAAAGAAGTTTCCTGAAACCCTGACAGCAAGCACCCAGATGTAAGGTCTGATTACACCGCTTGGCCTCTCCCTGCAGAAGTCACCAGCTCCACAAGTACATCCTGGAGCATTGTCCGAGTGACCTTCACGGGAAGACCGTCCACACCGTGGAACAAAGAAGATGTATTTATAATTATCTATCTCTCTTCACGTTGCATATCTTATCTCTGGAAACAATGCTATTCTCACTGTATTAGAGGAAAAGTCCAGTTGTACACAATCAGTGTAACCAGGGCAAAAAGAATACAGAAATAAAATAATAATAAAATAATACAGAAACAACCCTTTATTACCCACATACTGAATGAAGTTGTCATACTAAATGAATTCAGTGCTGACCCTTACACTTGTTCCCATCCCAGGTTTCATGGCTGTATTTGATTTTACTTTACTTGTCAAATCTTTCTGATGCAGTTTTTGAGCTTTCTATTCTTGTCCTTTAGCAAATCCTACCTCTTATAAATGATACAACTGAATAAATCTCCTGAGCCCTGCCTCTGGAGGTACGGGCGTTATCTAGCAAGGATTCAAGGGGCTTATCACTCTCACTCCCAAAAGCACTTGGTCTCAGTGGGAAAGATTTCCCCATAAGCAGCACACAAAACTTGGCAAGATCAAGCTCTCTGAAATAGACTGCATTTAGATTTGCAGGATCAGGCTATTTAGTGCTGCTCAATTTAAAATACTGTCTTGTACACTGATAGCCATTTCAGCCTCCCACACCACCAAGCAAAACCCATAAAGCTCAAAGACTGTGAAGAAGTTTGACACCATTTAATAAATCAGCTCTTTGCGATGATATTAAACTGCAAGCAGACAGGCATATCTTTCTCCTAGCAGACACACGGGAGTGAAACGATGATCTTTGGTGGATCCAGGAATATTCCCTTTCAGTCACTGGGGAGTGCCTGTATTCCCAGGAACCGATATCATTAACCTTCTCTCCTCTCCTTCGAGCAAATACAGGCATCTTATTGCAAAAACAACAGGAGTAGCAGTTCCAAAAGCAATGTCCCATCACCATCCCTCTCCCAGCCTCACCCCACGCACCTGCTCGCTGCCCCCATCACTGCTCTGCTGCGGTGCTCAGAGTATTTATTCGTGTCTTGCAAATGCATCAGCTGTTTGTTTTGTAAGAATTTATGGCTTAGATATAGCACCATAATTTAAGATATAAAAAATAAATTAAGGTTTATAATCCATGAGCTCCCATCCTCTCCAAAGTAATGAGATTTTGATAGATGTTTCCCTTTTAAATTACTGGACTGTACAGATGAGTGAGACATCCTACAGTGTTAAAGACAGTGAACCATCTGGATCAACACTGAGATTCCCAGGCCTCATCCTGCGTGCACTTATATGCACAAATTTCATCTGGAGCCCTATTTTTACATTTAAATACAAATCCTATAGCTAGCAGTTGGCCTAAATAGCCTGGCTACAAAAGGCAAGTGCTTGAGATGGGAAAACTTGAAAACCTGTGGGTTTTTCCTGTATTCCAGCAGAGGCAGCTCAGCAGATCAGATGGGATCATCCCAGGCAGCATAAGGCAAATATGTGGTGGCCAGTGGTGTGTCCGTGATACCTCTCGGTGGCACAGGCTGTGCAGGGGCACGGGGGCAGTAGGTGAGAAGGGAAATTCGGCACTGGTTTTTATATTTTTTGGGTTAAAAGTCAATCTTGCTGAATCAACACTTTAGTTTTGCTGGTCTAACCTCCCATTTTGACCT